GACCTCCTTACAAAGAAGGGTTTTATCTGGTCCTCAGCCGCAGAAGAGGCATTCTCCAAGCTAAAAAAAATCTTTGATAGAGGCACCAATTTTGGCTTTACCAAACTTTAAAGAACCTTTTGTCGTGGAAATTGATGCTTCAGGTATTGGAGTAGGCGCGGTTTTACTTCAAAATAATCATCTCATTGCTTTATATAACAGGAAGTTGGCTCCCACTACGCACACTAAATCTATATACATACGCGAAATGTTTGCTATTACTTCGGTAGTAGCCAAATTTAGGTAGTGCCTATTGGGGGTACCTTTTACCATTCGTGCAGATCACAAGAGCTTAAACAACCTCATGAATCAAGTTGTTCAAACTCCTGAGCAACAATCTTTCCTATCAAAGCTCTTGGGCTTTGATTATTCTATTACATACAAATCTGGTAAAGCCAATGTTGTGGCGAATGCCTTGTACATGCATCCAGAAGGGGCTCTCGACACTACAAAACCCCAATTTTCTGCACTGAGTGGTCCGATTAGTGATTACAAATCCTTATTGCTACAAGATTTACAACAAGATACCTATTGCAATAACATATTACAAGATCTAATGACGGAACCAGCCAAATGGCCTGAACAGAAAATCAAGGACGTGTTGTTGTTCTTTCGCAATCGCATCGTTCTTCCAGTCACTTCTTCCATCATTCCCCACTTATTACATGATCTGCACACATCTGTATAAGGGGTCACTCTGGCTTCACCGATACTCTGCAACATATTGCCAACAATTTTACCTGGAAAGGAATGAGGAAAACCATATGTGATTATGTTGCAAAATGTGAAATTTGTCAAAAAAATCAAACCCCCCAATCATTCTCCCTTCGGCTTGTTACAACCCATTCAACCACCAGAAGAGACATGGACAGATTTGAGTATGGATTTTATTACTCATCTGCCCCTTTCCTATGGCTCTACAGTAATCTTTGTCATTGTAGATAGATTTTATAAAGGCGCTCATTTTGTGGCCTTGCCCCCACGTTACACAGCAACCAAGATCGCGCAGGTGTTCTGGTATTCTGTTGGAAAACTCCATGGCCTTCCTTGCTCCATTATTTCTTATCTTGACCCATTGTTTTTAAGCAACTTTTGGACCATGCTCTTTCATCTGCAAGGAACTACATTACGTTTCAGTTCATCTTATCACCCCCAGTCTGATGGACAGACTGAATGTGTAAACATATGTGTGAACAGTTTTTATGAGCTTTTACCTTTAATAACCCCTCTTCTTGGTCTTGATATTTGGCTTGGGCAAAGTATCACCATAACACATCCTTTAACAGCTCAACAGGAATGACCCCATATCAGATCATGTTCGGCCGTCCACCTCCCAATCTATTGGTCTACACTCTCGGATCTTCGTCCAACGATGCCGTAGATGCCACTCTATCTTCTCGAGCCTCCATCCTCGCCATAGTAAAAGAAAACTTGCTGAGAGCTCAAACTCAAATGAAGAATCAAGCTGACAAAAAAGGCAAAGACAAGATTTTTACCATCGGTGAGCAAGTATTACTCTGTCTGCAACCTCATTGTCAACTTTTAGTACAACACAGATCCTCTCAGAAGCTCGCGTTGCGATTTTATGGTCCCGAAGTGGTTGAGCGTGTTGGTCCGGTGGCATATCACCTAAAGTTGCCACCTTTGGCTCATATTCGCCCAATTTTCCACGTATCCCTTTTGAGGCCTTTCAAATCTGATCGTAGTTACCAGATCCATGATCTACCCCAGGCTCCATGCGATAACCCGATGGCTTATACTCCCGCAACAATTGTAGAAAATCGCAAAAATCTGGCTCAAGGGAACTCGGATAGCACAAGTTCTTGTGCAGTGGAATGGCTTACCCCCTGAAGACAGCACATGGGAAGATGAAGACTTGATTTTCACGGAAGGACCGAATCCTAACATCAAAGCTGCAACAAGGCTTCATCATGAGGAACGGGACAGAGAAAATTTGGAACAAGAGGACTTACGAGTGAGGCTCAACAATACGAAGGGAAGCAAAGGCTTTTCTATGCCTAAGAGACCAAACCATTCTCTTACATACGAGGAGCATCAGAACAAGAAGCAAATGGAACTGGTTTGTCCAAATACTCTTCAGACTTCATTGGTTATCAAACCTCAAATGAATGTGCCACCTAGCCCTTCTAGAGACGCGCCTATCATTAATGCTTGTGAGCTACTCCCCAACCACTTGCCTACTGCAAACTTCGTGGATCCCGTCACCAGATGTCCTTCTACGATTGGACCACCACATCAGCCCTTATCTTCTAGTGGACAACACCAACATCTTATCCTTGAGGACAAAGATTTGCTTGAACTGAAGAGGGATGTACTGGACCCTTATAATGAGTTGGGCTTAGCTAAAAGGACCCGTAAGAAGCCCCAATATCTAAAGGATTACGAGACCAATTAATATAGTCTCTTTTAATTCTTATATTGTAATGGATCGGAGTGGTTTATAATTGTTTAAGGGGCCATTATGAATAGGGCAATATATGGTTAATAGGGAAAAGGAAGAAGTTATGCATACTTTGAATGAATTTTCTTTCTCCTGTCTTTTCTCTCTCTATTCTTATCATTCTTCTCTTCTAATTCTCTTCTATCTCTAAAAATTTCCAAATTCACTGCTACATTGTGTATTACTATTCTGCATGAGCCATTGCACAACTAATACACACTGGAAAAGCATTTCTTATCTTAATGGATACAATTTTAAATTATTTTAAATAAAATAATTGTATTTTGATATATACTTATTAATTTTTTATATTCTTTCTTTTTTTCTTCTTCATAATTTTGTATTTTATGAAAAAATATAAAAGACCAATAAATATACATTAAAATATAATCATATCAATTTTAAGTTTCCTCAAGGTATAAATTAATATACAATTATCTTTTAAAATAATAAATATTTTTTCCATACAATATAACAAAGAATAATAAATATAAACGGGGATAGATCCACTTACCACTAATTAAATTTATCACTTCTTACTAAATATTAATCGTTAATTTTTGCCACTAAATAAAATACACAAGTTTAAAACATTAGGGCCACTAAGAAAATACTTTTCTCGAATTTTTGACTAAGATGATGTAGTAAGTGTTCTTCCTAATTAAAATAGTTAATAGCTGGTTCCATTAAGCATGTTAATAGGGGTTCAATTTTTGGTTGTGTGTATAAAAAAGGCTTCGTTGGAAGAGGTTGCACCCATGATCATGTGATATTTCCGCCTTGATGGGATTAGTCCTTGACTTTCGGCTGGGGAATACTCTTGGTACAATTTAAAAAAAATATTTAATATTTCACGGTTGGCTATCGTGTTTTAAGAATTCCGATACAAATATAAAGTTAGTAAAACAAAAGGAAAAAACTACTCTTATGCTACATGTGATAACTTTCCTTCTTACACACTCTTCGATAACTACGCTACCTTTTTTTTTTTTTTCAGATGGTGGAGCCCACAAATTTATCTCTATGACATGAGATAACTTATCTCCTTTAACATGAGATTAATAAAACCAAAAAAAAAAAAGAGTTTGTTAGTAAGGAATTGTTTACCTCCCTTACAGTTAGGGGTGAAAGTGGGCTGGGCTGGGCCAAGCTTTGCCCCGAAAAGCCCAAGCCTACGCCAAAAAATTTCAATTTGGCCTGGCCCAAGCCTAGTATGATTCTAACTGTTAGCCTGACTTGGCCCGTTTATAAAAAAACAAATAGCCTGGCTTGACCCGTTAGCCTGTTAATTTTTAACTTTCAAGCATAACCATGAATCAACTTTACGAAGTACTCGAATTCTGTTGCTACACCAAAAATCATAATTTCAACGTCCAAACAGAATCATGAATCATAACAAAACTCATACAATATGCATTTAAGTCATTTTCAAAAGCAAAATGCTCAAACTAAATAACATATATTTCATCAGATCCAACAAATAAATCCATGCTATGTAAATTAAAATAACTACATGAATCCAACAAACACATCATGATGCTTGTAGTAAGTATAACCTTTCCCAAAAATCTTTTAATATATTCATATACACAATCTAACATGTTGAGATGTCAGTTCCTCCTATATAAGAAATAAAGTAAGATTTCTATTAAAATATAATCGAATATAATTAAGTTATAAATAATTGTAATTGATTAAATTTATATCTTTTGTTTTTCCTTCAAGGCATACTTACTTTATTTTATTTTAGAGTAAATACCTTTTTTGATCCCTAACAAAAAACACGGTCCCCACTTTAGTCCCTTACAAAAATAAATTAGTCAGTTAGTCCCTAACAAATTCAAAGTGAACCCATTTTAGTCCTTTTGAGGGACTAATATAGGTCTTTTTTGAATTTGTGAGGGACCACGATTTCAACTAAATGGGTCCACTTTGAATTTGTTAGGGATTGACTGACTAATTTATTTTTGTAAGGGACCAAAGTGGGGACCGTGTTTTTTGTTAGGGACAAAAAATGATATTTACTCTTTATTTTATTTAAAATAAATAGTATAATATAGGCCGGCCTGTAGGCTTATAAGCTCGGCCTTTTGAAAATGGGCCTACGGCCTTTTTATTAAACAGACTTTTTTAAGGCTCAAGCCCGACTTATTATACAAAATATACTAGGTCAGGTCTGGCCTGATGTAGACCGAGCCGTAGGCCCCTGTAGGCCAGCCCGACCCAGTTTCACCCCTACTTACCGTCAATGTCATGTATGCTTAACGAAATTAGTCGGATAATTTGAAATTAAGAAAAAATAATTTGGAACGAGAATGGTGTTTTATGCAAAATTATGTTATTTTAAGAAAAAAAAATAGATAAATTATAAATGAGAGAATGAATAAAAAAAAATATTAATTCCACCTATATATGTGTGAAAATTAAATGACACAAATAATATGATTTCAAAGGATAAACACTTATCACTGTACTAATAGAAAAACCGGCAGCCACATGTTAAGCCGCCACCTAATTGATTAATGATTAGGTGAATCACTCGCATTCTCTTCTTCATTCTCTATCAACACTACCCATGATTTCTTGATTCTCACCTCTTTCATACAAAGATCCCTCTCTCCCTCTCTCTCCCTCTCTCTCTCTCTCTGCTATCGTCAGTGGTCCATCTATAACTCCTTCCTGATATCATCAGACGCATCCCGAGGGAGAGAGAAAGAGAGTGAAAAAATCAAATCAACTAAAAAAAAAACATTTTCATTTTGTTTATTAAAAAGAGCAACCTTCTGTAGTTTTGGTGTTTCAGAGATCCCAAAAGGGTGAAAAAGGCAAAAGATGGTTAGTGCTATAAAGGCAGCAATTGGAGATGCAGTGTTGACTTTCATGTGGGTGTTCTCCGCCTCCATGCTTGGAATAGCTTCAACCTCCATAACCAGAGCCCTTGACCTTCAGCACCTCTCTTACAACGGTTTCCCTTATCCTTCTTTTCTCGTCACTACTTTCCTTGTCTTCGTGCTCGTCTTCATCTTCACCATCATTGGCAATGCTTTCGGTGGCGCCAGCTTCAACCCCACCGGCACCGCCGCCTTTTACGCCGTTGGTCTCGGTTCCGACACCCTCTTCTCAATGGCTCTCCGTTTCCCTGCCCAGGTTCGTTGTCCATTTCATTGTTCGCTTTTGTGTCCAAAAGGGTATTTTTTTTTCTTTTTGGGTGTTGCTTTCTCCTGATGTTAAATCAACTTTTTGGTTCGATATTCTCTTTCTTGCTTTTGGGGCTCTTTTTTTGTTTTTGTTTAAGTTAATTGTCTGATCCCTCAAGTTTGAATCTTTGGAGGAAATTTTTGAAGGGTCAATGTGAATTAATTAAGGAGTGTTTGATTTCTGAACTTAGAAGTTGTGTTCCTTGCATAGGCGCTTGGTGCTGCGGGTGGTGCTATGGCAATTATGGAGGTGATTCCTACGAAATACAAACACATGATTGGGGGACCTTCTTTGAAAGTGGACTTGCATACTGGGGCTGTTGCTGAAGGGGTGTTGACATTTTTGATTACTTTTGCTGTCCTTTTCATTATTCTGAAGGGCCCTCGTAGTGAGTTAGTGAAGACTTGGTTGGTGGCCATGTCAACCGTTACTTTGGTCATGGTTGGATCTGCTTACACCGGGCCATCCATGAATCCTGCCAATGTGAGTGATTACTTTTTTGCATTTATAAGTTTTTTTTTTTTTATTGCATGAGTTATATGTGTTTTTTGAATTTTGACACAACTAATTTGGGATAAAGGTGATATTGATGTTGATGATGGATGAATTTTATGTGTTACTTGTGTCAGTCTAGGTATACATTATATCACTTTATCATGAGGGTGATCTGAATTATTATCTTTTCTTGTCTTTCTTTTTCAGTAGTTTCTGGTATGCACCTCAATTTTGAAACTTTATAGTGTTAATTGTTTTGGTTTTTAATAACTTCTGCCTAGGATTTCTTGTTCTTCTAAGCATTCTGGAATTTAGATCTTACCACTTACCTTTGCATTTGAGAATATTATACTTTTCGATAATTCTGTTCAACTATTGAATATGTCTCTTTCATGTTTATGTCACATGTATCCTCTTCCTTCTCTGTCCCATCCTTATTGGTTACTTTTGTAACCTGTGTGCATAGTTGTTATGTGAATTTTTATTGAAGTCAGAGAGAAAGGGAGAGAGAGGCGAGAAATAGAGAATTATTGGAAGGAAGTAATTTTCTTTTTGTTTATTTCCTTCAGCCATCTGGCCTTCAATAACAAAGATTTGAAATGCTAGAACGGTAAAGACATTAAATGTTATCCATAATTGATACTCATGAGGATTAATTGATACCAATCTAATTTTTTTTATTGATGCACACTAATAAATGCCTAACATTCCTTCCCCGACTTGTCCTTAAGTCGAGACGTGGCGTATGTCGTGTGAATGTGTGGTGTGTGAATGGGTCAGGTGGATCCGGTTCGATTGGCTTAGGAGGTAGCGAGTTGTTCTCCATGGAGCAAAGACCCTCCAAATGTAAGCAAGCCGAGCTTTTGCATCGATGTTATCGGACAAACTTCTCGTCGTAGTAGAAGCAGAGTCCGTTGTCACGTCATTCCTGTATCCTTTCCTCTTTCAGGAGCTTGATAGGAAGCCATGTGCCAAGGGGGTTTGCGAGGCGACAAGGGTTGTTGGTTGTGGTGCTACCAAGGGTGGCGGTTGAAATGGCGGGCTACTGAGGTGCAAGTTGCTAAGTTGAGACTCATACATGCATGCTAATGTGAACACGTCATGTAAGTCAACCAATCGATGATTTAGTATAGCCATTCGAATTCTGAGCATCAATCCTGAAATAAATAAACTCCTCAAATTGTCAGGAGTAAAAACTTGCACTTGCCAAATTTGCATGATTATCTAGCACGAAACCCATTTGAGAAAGCTTGACGAGAAGGATTGTGGCATATTCATACTCTGACAGGCCAAATTGACGATGAATTGCGCATACAAATGTGTCCCAATCGGTTAGGAGACCGTCACCCACAAGGCCATGGTACCATGTTGTTGTCGACTCGTCGAGATGCATTGTAGTCAAAAGTAGTCAATCATCTGCGTATGTGTTTTAATATTGCAAATCGTGGCACACATTAAAATGGCTTACAGTTCGACCACCCGAAGAAAAGCACGGAAACATGAAGCACAGGCTATGGCCTTGTAATGGAGGTTCATTGGAAGGCGACAACCGCAGGTGACCATGGCCCAAAAGACCTAGTGCTAGGGTTGTGGGTTGGAGATCGACATTGAGATGCCCATCCCTTTTGTCAAATAAAGCAATGAGAGTTTCCACCATCAATTGTTTGTTTTTGAATGCAGTGAAAGAGGCTTGAAATCAGTGAAATTGTGGCGTAATTCTGCTATGGCCTCCTCATTCTCTTGAGATCGTGTCAATGGTATGATGGGAGTCACAACCGATGAAAGCACCAAAATGTTGAGTGACTTTTTATTGAAGTCAAAGAGGAAGGTAGAGAGAGGCAAGAATGATTGATTGGTTGAGAGAGACAAAGAGAAGAGAATTAGAGAATTATTGGAAGGGAGTAATTTTCTTGTTTATTCGCTTCGGCATTTGGCCTTCATAACAAGATCTAAAATGCTAAATCTGTCAAGTTTGATACTTCAAGTCTAAGACTTTTTCTTCTTCATTTTAATTGATCACAAAATACATACCATGGCAACCTGAGGTGTTGTCTCTTCTATTCCTCTGGTGGTCCTTTTTGTACTTTTGTTTTCTTCTATATGCCAAATGTATCAAATTCTGCATTAGATAGTGTATCAAGTTGTTTCGAATGCAAATTTGTAACATATGTCTGAATATTATGAGCCAAAGAACTGAAATAAAAGGGGAATATTAGTGGTCAGTTTTACTACATCATGTTATTTTGACAAATAAGAACTGTGGAATGGGTGTCATTGGGTATTCATGTTAAATAAGTGTGTGAAACCATCACGACCTCTCTGGAAAAGCTGCTTCAGAGCATTTTAACAGAAAGCTATCAAATTACAGCTGTGACTGTGTGGAATTCTTCTTTTGCCAGTTTCCCTCCACCATCCTTTGACTAAATAATCAAAATGATATTCCTTCTCATTTTAAAACTTGAGAATTTGGGACATAATTCAGACATTCAGTTAAGAGTAAAGTCGGCAGATGATTTGTAAGATTGAGGTATCCATGAGATCTTATTGGAGGGTAAAGTTAATCATCTGCTTTTTGTGGATACAAGGATTCTTCCTTCCTTCCTTTGAATTGCTGATAAGGATGACTGAATGTTCTTCTGTGTTTGTGGTGTGGGAGAGGGAGGGATATTTGTCTTAAATAAGAGATGGACAATCAATTTAAAAGTGGCTGAAAAGGAAAAACCTTTAAAAAGAGTTAATAGATCCTCTAGCAAACAAAAATAACTCATTCAGAATTAATCAAGAACTTCGTGTTACCTGTTTGTCATGTTAGAGTTTACCTTTCTTACATTTCTATTAGCTACGTATATGACAGAAGTTGGAGTTCAATACTTATATTATTTGAAATCATCCAATACTATCCTGACATTAGCATCTTTCCAAAGAGGTAGATAAAGTAGGATAGGTAATTACCCTTCCTTAAGGATATAATGCTATCTCTCACTCCATTAAACAGATCTTGTCACCAACTCCAATAAAAGAGACGAAAAGAACAGCTTTGAACTTTGTATTTCCGAACAACAACAACAACTAAAACCTTTTCCTACTAGGTATGGTTTGCTACATGAATTAACCGTCATTGAGTTTTGTCAAAAACTAATTCTTCAGATTGGTCATTTAGATCCAAATCATTTTTAATGATTTCACTTAGAGATTTTTTTGGTCTTTCTGTACCTCTAATTGCTGGGCTATGCTCTATTTGATCAACTCTTCTAATTCTTTTTCTCACATGTCCAAACCATCTTAGCCACGACTTTACCATCTTTCCGACTTTCTCTCAATAAGTGCTGAAATTCTATCATCTCTGCAACAGTTATCTTATGCTCTTATCTGTCCTTTATTGCCCGACATTCAATACCTTCAAGCATCACTGATGTTGTGGTTATGCTGTAATTTTTCCCGTAAGCTTAAGAGGCACCTTCCTATCACAAATAATGCCTAAAGTATTCCTCCATTTTATCCATCCAACTTGAATCCTATGATGTACATCTCCCTTATTTGTTCATCGCTTTATATGATAGATCTACCATACCTAGATTGTGTGTCATGTGGTATGGCATGATCACCAGTATTCACTTCAAAGCCACTGCTAGCACATGTCTTGTTGAACTTACATTCCATAAACTCTGTTTTACTTCTACTTAAATGGAAGCCATGGGATTCCAAAGCTTCTCTCCGTAACACTAGTGTACAATTTATTTTCTCTCTTGACTCTTCTACTAACTATATCATTTGTAAAAACCATGCAGAGGCACGGGCAATATGTTGACTAAGAACATCTAACCCCAAGAAAAGAAGATAATGGCTCAAGGTTGACCATTAGCGTGAAGTGTAAACTTATAGTTATAGGGAAATCCTGTGGCCCCACCATGTGCTTGCACACTGGTTTTCATCCTATTATACATATCCTCAATGGCCCAAAGATAAGCAACATGAACTCATTTCTTTTCTAGCATCTTCCACAAGACTTCTCTTTCATAGGCCTTGTCCAGGAGAGTGAAAACCATGTGTAGATCTTTTTGTTTCCTCCTATACCTCTGCATCAAACCTCGCAAAAGTTATATTAGTTGCATGTTTGACCTCCCAAACATAAAACCAAATTGGTTCTCTAAAATGTGAACCTCTTGTCTTAATCTCCAATTGAATACACTTCTTCATAGTTTCATAGTGTGGCTCATTAGCTTAATCTCTATGTAATTAGCACAATTTTATATATCTCCCATGTTCTTATAAATACAGATCAAAGTGCTTCTCCATTCATTTGATATTTTCTTTGACCCCATCATCTAGTTCAACTTTGTGAGCTAGGTTACACCTTTCTCCCCTAAGCACTTCCATACTTCAATAGATAATATTATCTGGTCCAACTGTTTTTCCATTGTCCATCCTCTTTTAGGGTGTGTTTAGGAGTTAGGAGGGAAAGGATAGGGAAGGGATCAAGGGGAAAGGAAGAATAAGGAAAGGAAGGAAAATGAAGGATAAACTTTTACCAGATGTTACAAATTCAAAAGGGGAAGGAAATGAGGGGTTATTTAAATCAAAATGATTAATTATAATACAAATACACAATTATACCTTTCATTTTTAAAAAATATTATAATGTATTTCTTTAATAAAATTTATTTAAAAAATTCAAAAAAAAATCTCTCTCAAAACTTTCTCTCTCTAATAAAAACTTTCTTTCTAATAAAACATGCAAATATGATTAAAATGTAATTTTGAAATTTCAATTGGGATAAATAAGCAAATTGAGTTTTATTCCTTCAAAAAACCCCAATTTGAGAGAACTGAGAAAAATGCTTAAGAAGAGAGGGTTTTGCAGGGTTTATGAAAAATCCCCAATTACCTTCCCCTCTTTTTTACAAGACTCCCAAACAAGGGAAAGGCTAAATTTCCCATCCCAACAAACAGTTAGTATTTCATTTACCTCTAATTCCTGAATTCTACAGTAGAAGGCATAATCTGCTCTTCTTTTTCGAGCACATTTGGCATGGTGCTAGAACCTTGTTCAGAGATGTTTTTGATAGTATCGACCCCAATTTGTTTCTTCTCTCTAATGATTAAAAGACCCAAGTCCATTAAAGTCGAATGTCCTTCATTAAATATCTTTTGAAAATAACCCTTCCATCGTTCGTTGATATTTTGTTCCATGACCAAGACTTTACCCTCTTTGTCCTTAATGTAAAAAAATTGGATCATTTCTCGGTTTGTGTGAGTCACCATTCCATATTTCATTTTATTTCTTACATGATTGCAATATTTGTCAGGGGATGATGTGCAAGTAACTTTCCTCCGGTGGCATTTCCACCTCCATTATAGTTTGGCTCTAATGTAGTTTGGTTGCTAATACCACTTCCTCCTCTTTTATGGTGAAAGATAGAGGATGAGACCATGGGTTGGTTATCTTTAATAGAAGCTCCTTGCTAACTTACTCCAACCTTTTTTGATTTGGTTATAATCGGTTGCTCAGCATCAACAGCTTGCTTACAACTTCATAAGTTAATATCATTTTGACTATGATCGTTATGGTTCATCTGTACCTAAAACTGGACTTCATGCCTCCTTTCCTCAACAATAGGATTAGATAAATAGAAGTAGAAAATTGGAATAGCTAAAGTTTACTAGAATGCCATTCTGTGATCGAAGTGGTCAATCCCCTTTTTGATTTTCTAAACTGTTTTATCAGTAACCAAGTAGGGGCTAGGAAGGCGGATTTCTTAACTTGGTCTCAATGTTGAGAAAAGCATTATTGTTTTTTCCTTTGTCCAGCCAAGGTGGTGTTGTTCATATGTTGACTGAATACTAGTCAGTAACTTAAGAGTAACTGCAATTGGTTGAGTCATTTTTTACACTTCACAATTTTGTAACAAAGAAAATTGCTAATATTCATATACTATTAACTCTTCTATCTTTGTTATGTGCATATTTCTGGATTCTTCTGATGTTAATTTCAGCTTGATCAAGGTCAGGCACATAGAAGCTAATGAATAATATGATCTGTTGTTGTCTATGCAGGCCTTTGGTTGGGCATACTTAAACAACTGGCACAACACATGGGACCAATTCTATGTATACTGGATTTGCCCCTTCACTGGAGCAATATTGGCTGCTTGGCTCTTCCGGGCTATCTTTCCCCCACCTGAACCAAAGCAGAAGAAAGCATGAAGAGGCATAATATATTTGGCTGCTTCATCTCTCAGCTTATAATAATAAAACGTGTTTTCTTAGGCACAATATCAGATGTTACAATGTTGCATAAATTCGGTATCCAATTAGAAAGATTCTATATAATTGAACTAGTATCTAGATTTGATACAGAAAACATGTAAGCGTTATTTTTGTTTTGTGTTTTGACTTTTGACTTATATATATATATATATATATATATATATATATATATATATAGGGGTAGTATCCTTTGACCCCGGTGTCAAATTTAAAATTTGACATCTCATCTGAGATTCGTTAGATCAAAATTTATCAACGACTCTAATTTGTAAGCATGTGACACTATTGATATTTTTTGATCTAACGGCTTTCAAATGAGGAGTCAAACTTTAAATTTGACACCGGTGTCAAATGATCTTACCCCATATATATATATATATATGTATATATATATATATATAAAATTATTTTACAAAACAGTTTTTTAAAAAAAAAAATAGAACACAATCAAATACACCTTTAGACCTCAAAGTAGCTAAACCTCTTTACAATAATAACAATGGGTTTTATTTTTCTTATGTTGCATGAGACAAGTTGTCTCATGCAACACACACAAAATGGGTGGGACCCACTAAAAAGGAAGAAAGAGAAAATAAAGAAGCGGGTCCCACTCATTTTTTGTGTGTTGCATGAGACAACTTGTCTCATGCAACATAAGAAAAATAAAACCCAATAACAATTGATTAAGATTTTTGTTTAAATATTATATTTAAAAAAATATTTTTACTCTTTTTATGAATTAGATTATGGCTTTAATATTTCTACAATAAATATAGATAAGTTATCTATATCCACTTTCAAAACGATATCGTTTTGTATTGAAAAATTAAAAAATTATAATTAGAAAGACTATTATAATTCTGAAATAAATTATAATTATAAAAATATTTTTATTTTATTTTCAAAATAATATTGCTTTGAGTTTAATGTAGATAATTTATCTACATTGAAGGCAGAAAAAATGAACTTTTACTAATTTTGAATGTGAAACTAATCTTATTCACAGTTAATTTATTTTGATAACGCGCGAGGTGCTTTATGTGATCTCATATTTACGATGACTAAGATATTATTTGATATGCCTTTAAAGATATCAACAAGAATTTGTAATAAATACAAGTACATTCAAAAAGTGATAAATTATTGCATTTTTTTAGGAAAAAATAAAAATAAAATTATAAACAATCGTAACAAACTTTCTGATAAAATTTATCATATCAAACTTCTCTTTCTAATTTCTTGGTAGCAATTAACGCAATCTTCAAAATACCTATTTAGTGGCGGGAACAAATAAGCATCCTCTGCAAACAATTCTCAAAGACTCTAATTTTTTTTTTTTTTTTTACTTATTATCTGGTTAATTCGATTCGAGTGACATTTTTTGAATTTTTTCGACTCCCAACTCAATCATAACTCTAAACAAACACTCCCAACTCAATCATAACTCTAAACAACAAATATGCTTCAGGGACGAGAGGCAATTTTGTTTGAGTCGAAATATTCACATCATCTTTTGTCTTTTTTATGCATAAACAATATGGACGGCTTCAACAACAATGATCAGATTTGTGCATTTGTGCTTAGAGATTATCGAGCTGCACAGCACGCTCTCAAATCCTCAGGTGAAGGGATACGTGTGCTCTACATCAATTCGTGGTCTGGCTTACAAGTGCTTCGCGAACCTAAATGTCCTAAGCAAGGAACGAGATCACCAATATCACCGAACTACACAAGTAACAACATGATACCTTTGAAAGTGGCGATGAAGAACTCTATGTTGAAGATGGGAGGGGAAGAGGCTAAATATGCAAAAGACAACTTCATTATATGTCGCAGACCCCGACAACAGCGTCGTCGCCCTCAAATCAAGCCCTCTCGGCTATCCATCATGTCTAATGCTGATCAAGACTTGTGAACATTGTTTTTTTTTTTTTTGTAGATTATTTTAGTCATCAGTCATCTTGCTTCCCAAGCTGGCCTAGTATATTAATTTTTATTTTTATTTTATATTTTTTATATTATTTTTAATAGCCATCTCTTTTCTCAATCCATTTCACATCATTTTATTGGTTAAATAGATTTTTTGAATGATTTTTTTTCTATACTATGTTGTTTAGATTTACATTGAATTTATGAATATTTATAGAATTATTAGTGCTGTTGATTGTATATTCTGTTTGGATAAATTTTTGTTGTCTTATTTTTTTTAAACAGGCCAACGTGCTAAACAAAACTTTTATTTTTTGTAAATAAGTCAAGTCACGGGCCAATAATTATATTCATAACAGGTAACAGGTTAATGACAAACTTAGTCTTTTAAGACCGAAACTCAGCTCGACTCGGCCCCGTTAACACCCCTACTCTCAAGAACATATATCGATTCGTTGTAATTTGTAAACCTTTAACTCAATCAGTTTATGATTTTATGTTACTTCAATGGCTAATTGTTAATAAAAGGAACACGGGTATAAAATAATTCTTCTATATTGTATTCCTCATCATTCAAGCCCTATATATACACAAGGGGATGATTCTAGATCCCATCATCAGTAACAACCTTCACAAACAAAGTAACAACCTGTTAATAAAACTAATCAACTTAATAGACTAATAGTAAATCTCCTAAGATCTTTGATATCAGTTGTAATAGATTTACAAACAACCAAATCAAATATAATATTCAACACTAATATTAGTAATTACGTGAGGTGTACTAATTTTCAGATTTTAGCATCTCGTTGCTTACGAAAAAAAAAACCAATATTTATTTTTTTTGGTAAACAAAATCAATATTTTTCTGTCAACGACTCCCACGCATGCGTGACAAGTGATGTCGGTGGATTGAGGGATTATGAGATGATAGGCTGCATTCAATTTTCAAAATAGGATTACCAGTGCTGCTGATATAATGATTGAACAGTTAATTCGACGCTACCTATCTTGTTACAAATCTTAATTGCTATTTTTTTTCTTTTTGGAAAAGATACTATCTTGTGTAATTTAATATGATTATATTATATGAGAATATTATAATTATATGAGAGTGCATCAATGATGGTGGATTTACATATTAATAATTAAGATATTCTCACATAACATGATTATATTATTTAATACATGAGAGAATCTATTTTTATATTTTTAAATTTTGTTAAAAGATAATATTTTTTGAAATTAATTTAAAAGATATAGATTTATAAAATATATTGGAAATATATAAAAACAGTAAACTTTTATAGAGAGAAAGTAGATTTAAACATAATAAAGTTGATTTTGTTTTCTAGTCAATCTCAAATATATTTGATATCTATGTAATTATTAATATACTATAAATAAAAATATAAATAAGTAAATATCAGATAAGAAGAATTGAATTAGTATATAAAAGTTGGATAAACAATAGATTCAAACATGATGAAATTTCGATTTGATGTCTATTTAAATATCAATATAAAATATACGAATAAGATAAGAAAAATGGAATTGGTCAATTAGGATTTAAAAATTGGATATAAAATAAATTTAAATAAGATAAAATTTATTTTATTTTCTAGTCAATTTGATATCTATCTAAATATCAATATATAACAAATAAATAAGAGCTTTCTCAGTCACGTTGGTAATCAAGAGTAAACTTCCAAAAATAATAGAAAATCAATTTCTTGAAGATTGTTTGATTCCTTATATTGAAAAGGACACATTGCTATAAAGATTAGCACAAATCCAACTATTGAAGAATTCAACACTACAAAACAACATAGAGCGAGACTTAAGTTAAATAACTATATTTTTGTAATAAAATTCTTTCAAACTTTTTATATTATATTATTTCATGTTGTGATTATTTTATATTATATTTATATTATATAATGTAATATTAAATTGACATTTATGTAATGTAATTTATTTATTGCGAGTATTTTTATTCCTTTATATATATTTTTAAGTTAATTATGAATTTAAAGGTATATATAATTAATTCGGCTTTTTGACCCTTTTGCCCCTCATTAAATAATTAATAACCAATTTGCCCCTCCTCTAGAACTATCCACCATCCTGCCCCCATTTAATCGATTAAGTTGCACTTTTAATCGACTAAATGGGCAAAACTCAGAAATCATGAAACGCGAATTTTAGTCGACTAAATACTTACCTTAATCGACTATGTTCGTTGCACTTTTAGTCGACTAAGCCCATTATTTAGTGGACTAAATGTCGCAAATCAGGTTTTTTAAAAATCCCCCCATTTCGCAAAGGGGGTTATTTTCAAACCCTAATCGACTAAATCACTCCATTCCGTCCCCTCTCTCCAACCAAGTCCGAATCTCAACCCTTGAAGGTGCGATTGAAGCATCCTTGGTTCACACTTGCGAAATCGACATTTAGGTAACGTTTTCTGACTTGCATTTGGTTTTAGGTTTAGGTTCTTTTTTTGTTTTCTCCATGCATTTGATTTCTGTTTGCGGTTTTGTGGATTTAGGTTAGGGGTAGGGTGTTAAGTTTGTTGTGAGGGTGAGGGTTAGGGTTGATGTGGTACCTTAGGGTTAGGGTTAGGGTTTATGTTGCTGTTTTGTTTGGGTTGTAGTGTTAGGGTTGATGTTTTTATGTTAGGGGCTAGGAATGGTTTTTTGTGATGTGCTAGGGTTAGGGTTAGGGTTAGGGTTTCTATTTTAGGGTTAGGGTTAGGGTTTGGGGTGCTGTTTTTGATTGGGTTTGGGGTTTACGTTTGCTGTTTTTATGGCATGGTATAGGTATAGGGTTTGTTTTCTGTTTTATTTTAGGATTAGGTTTTGTTTTTTATATTGAATTTTAAATTTTTTGATATTGTTATTGTTCATTGATATTGTTTCCACTTGCATTGTAGGTACAGTTGTTCCCATGGCTGGCCGTAGAAGATCGTCTAGCACTGGAAATGAGAGACGACAGAAGCTACGACAAGACCGTCCGTCTTCGTCAAGGCCACAGGAGGAAGAGCCCGCTCCTGTCGACCTCCCATTCGGATACTTGTTCGAGAATGACCCCGTGGTTCATGAATCATTTGTCCGTGACTTTGTTAACCGACCCATATGTGGGGCCAAATCACTTGATACAGCCTTTTTT